CTCCCCCTCCCTCCCCCTCTTCCTCTCTCCCTTCTCCCCCTCTCCCACCTTTTCCCCCTCGCTCCCTTCTCCCCTCCCCTTCTCTCCCTCATCCCCCTCCTCTCCCTCTCCCCCTGCTCCCTCCCCTCCCCCTCCTCCCCCTCTCCCTCACGCTTCCCTGCAGACGCTCTCGACGTAGAATCTCCGCATCAGATCGCCGAACGTACTATTATAGAGGGCGTGGTCGCAGACGCGCAGCTTCGGCCGCCTGGTGGGGAACCACGTCCACAGAAACAAGTGGCACGCGTAGAACTCGCTCAGGTCAACGTGCCCGCGGAAAATCGCCGGGTCGTAGCGCTGCCAGACTGTGTCCACCAGGTGGCACTGCTCGGGGTCGCGCTCCGCCATGCGCATCGGCACGGCTCCGGAGTTGTAGTTCCAGCTCTCCGGCCGATAATCAGCGTCGTACGACGCGCGCCACCGCCGCAGAAACGACGAGTTACGCTCGGCGACGATCACGCCCGAGTTGACCAAGGTGGCGCCCTCTCTCGCGAGCGTGCACGGGCGGCGGCGCCACGCGTCCAACGACCGCAGCGCCACGACGTCGAAGTCGAGGTAGACGCCGCCGTATTCGATGAGCGCGTCGAGGCGAGCGATGTCGGCCGCGTGCTCGGGGGACGCGGCGGCGGCGTGCGCGCGGATCACGCGAACGACGACGGGAACGGCGCGGAACATCGCATCCCACCACGTACCGGTCGGCTTGCGGTCGCAGTGCAGCATGATGCGGCGCGGACGCAGGACGGCGAGCGCGCTGAGAGGTCCGAGAAGGTGGGGAAGCTCTATCTCTGCTGCCGGCGCGCCGCCGCCGCTCAGCCAGACGTAGTGGATGAGGTTCGGCACGAGGAATTCGGCGCCGTCCGGCGGAGGCAGCGGCGCGGGGTCGGGGAATGTGGTACCGTAGACGCCCCAGCGCGAGCGGTCGAACGGTGGGATGCCGGGGCAGCGGCAGTCTGCAATGTGACGAGCGGAGAGGGGGAGGATTAGCTGACGATCAAAGTAACAGTGAACGGTTCCTGGCCATCTACATGGAGAGAGACAGAGACAGAGAAAGAGAGAGACAGAGAGAGTTAGAGAGAGAAGAAGAGAGAGAGTGCAAAGAGAGAGAGTTGAGAAGAGAGAAAGTAGAGAGAAGGTCGAGAGGGAGAGAGGTATGAGGTAGAAAGATAGAGAGAAGTGATGAGGGAGGAGAGGTAGCGAGAAGAGAGAGAAGAGAGAGAGAGTAAGAGAGAGGAGAGAGAGAGAGAGAGAAGAGAAGAGAGAGAGAAGTAGAGAGAGAGAGAGAAGAGAGCAGAGAGGAGAAAGGAGAGAGAGAGATGGGGAAGTGAGCGAGAGAGAAGAGGAAGAGAGAGAGGAGAGAGAGAGAGAAGAAAAAGAGAGAGGCGAGAGAGAAAGACAGAGAGGC